AAAGGAGATTAAACCAATGCCAGGTTTTGAGTATAGTCAGTAAGGAATGCTTGCTGTTGATTGAGAAAACCATAGCCACAGTGGGGCTGGTATTTGGGATAAAGTCTATTTCGGAGACAAAGTTTCCCTATCACTCATAGTAAGGCTTCAGGTGTTTTGGAATGAATGAGGTTCTTGGAGTCCTTTTAAACACCACTTAGTTAAAGGAACAAATCGCAGAAAACCTGTCTTAAAATTAGTTTGATTTCCTTACGCTTACAATAAGCATGTCATGTTCATGTTTGTAATTCTTTAACAGCTAGGGACCATTTTCTGCTTCTTTTTTTCTTCTACTTTCACAGTTTATGTGTATAAATAATATACTTTTTGTATCACCAAAACCCCAAAGGTATGAGAAAATGGCTTTGTTTATATTGTACAAATGAATGAGACCCAAGGAACTGAGCACAACAATGAGGTTGATATAACATCTACCCCCTGGGCTCAGTTCTTTTGCAAGTCCATTGTTCCCCCTTGGGATCTGGTTTAGTAGTACTCAAATTATGACTACCTTGAAGAGTTGTAATGATTCTGTTTTGAAAAGTTGGTTTTATACAGATAACTCAGGCCTACAAGTGATTTAAGGAATGGTGATTGACTCAGGATGATTTTTTTTTAAGATGAAAAACTTATTTAAAAAAAATTTTTTTTTTTACTGTTTATTTTTTATTTTTGAGACAGAAATAGAGCATGAACAGGGTAGGGGCAGAGAGAGAGAGGGAGACACAGAATCTGAAACAGGTTCCAGGCTCTGAGCTGTCAGAACAGAGCCCGATGTGGGGCTCGAACCCACGGAACTGTGAGATCATGACCTGAGCTGAAGTCGGTCGCTTAACCGACTGAGCCACCCAGGCTCCCCAAGATGAAAAAAATTTAAAAAGAAGACCTGGTGGGAAAAGCAGCCACAATAGTGAGCCAAAGGGACCCTACATTTAAAAAAACATTCAAACAAAACCCCCACCTGTAAGTGTTACTTCATCTGTTCAAACTTCCCCACAGCTTTGGCTGGCAAAGGTTATTCTCATTTTGTAGAAGAGAAAACTAATGCTCACTGTGGCTAAGAGGTGTCCATGTCGGGTGTCTCCCAAGACTAAGAACGGGTGAGTCTGGCCCAGTATTCTTTCATTTTAATATGTATGCCGCCTCTGAGTCATTAAGGAGTGGTTAACTTGCATTTAGGCTACTTGTACTCTGTTTGAAAAAGAAGCAGTACTTCCAGAAGATTTTCTTTAAATAGTAGGTTAATTGTGGTATTTAAAGGGATAAACTGTCATTTTCTGGAACGGATATGTGGAACAATCCATTCAGATGGTTGTGGGTAAATGAGGTGTTATATTTGGTCTGTACTGATCTCTTGCTATTCTAATTCTAATTCCTTCATTGTTTTTCATGTTCTTATCACCAGTGGAAACAACTTTTGATTTCTTCAAAATTTTTTCTAGGAAATGAATGTTGGAATTTCATCTCTCTGAGACCCTAGTAACCAGTTTCATTGCTTCTACGTTTCTCCCCCACCATATACCTAGTCCATTCTCCAAAATAGCACTGGATTTACCTTTTAAAGAGGTACTTCTGGTCTGTTATTACCCTGCTTAAAATGATTTCATGGTCTGTCTTAACGCTTAGGAAAAAATTCAAGCTCTTGAGCTTGGCATACAGTGACCACTGTCAGTGTGTCCAGTGTCATCCTTTGTCACTTGTGCTTACAAATCATGTCCCCTCATGATTCCTTCCTCATGCTTGTACTTCACCTTCTACCTAGAATGCCTTTTTCTCTTCCTTTTTGCCACACTCACATTTGTTCTGCGGGACTCTACAGTTTCTTCTCTAGTGAACTTTGACTAGTGTGTAGATATAGTGAGAGAAACGAGCAGCATTCCTATATCTACTTTGTGTTCTTTGCTGACTATTTCAGTCCAATGGGAGCTGGTTTTCCAAGAATTAATGTTTGGCAAAACAAGTTCAAATCTGTGAGATTCTTATGCTTTTCTCCAGAGAGATAGTTTTGAATACATATTTGTCTGCAGCTGGTTTGCTTACTTAGAGCAATCTAGATGCTAAGGAAGGTCATGAACTGGGATCTTTCTTTCTCTGACCGTGGCTAGCATTACAGTCCCTGAACAGCCATTCCTCAAATGCTGGTTGTTGGCCAAAATGGAACATAGTTTAGTGAGTGTAGCTGGGTCAGCATAAACCATGACCACGCCTGGAAAAAGCTTTAAGTACATGCCCTTTTGAGAGGGGGCTGGTAAAGTCATCCTTGTATAGGAAATTCAATTCTTTAAACATTAAAATATATTTAAATTGGTAATCTTTGGGGCTTTGATTATTAAATAATGTGTGCAGAGTATGTCTTTGTCTCACCACCAAGTTGTACAGAAGTATAATGTATTTGTCATTTGGCAGTACATTCCACGTAATTGAAAGCATTTTCTTGTGAAACATCTGCTTTTCCATACAAGAATACGTTTGGTCCACTAAAATGATAGCACTTTTTATAAAGGTGGGACTTTCTATGCTAAAGAAAATTATTACATTGTTTTTCGGCACTCATATGGTTTTGGTTATTATAATACTGTCACAGCACAAAAATAGCGGAATGCCTTGGAACCTTTGAACAATTTTTATCCTAGAAAATACTTCTACGTTGTAAGAATATCATTGTTGATCATTTCTATGGAAATGTCTGAGACTTACACAGTTCTTTATGTTTTGAAGAATCAGTAATGAAGGTAACATTTTTTTTTGAATGTTGGGCTAAAAGTCATTCTCAAATCTCTTTTTTACAATGTGTTAACTTTGTTTATTCTTTAAGGTAAGACATGGTTACTTTTTTTTAATAGGTGAAGCAGAAAAATGTTGTATGATTTCATCTTATGATAAAACTTTAGAAAAATTGTATAAGTAGCTACCAATAACCCACAAAGCCAAGTGAGAACTTACTTTTAAAATACTGATGCCAAACTGAATCTTTTAAAATATGTCTACAAATTGAAGACCCCTAATCCTCTTACATTAATTTTTGAACTTTTATTCCAAATATAGGAAACATTTTTCTTTTAATGATCCCTAAAAAGATGGATCAGTGAGGTGAATAACTAAAAAGCAACTGTCTTGATTCATCACATTAACTGCTCTAAACCTTGAGTCTTCTCTCCTTCAATTATTGCTTTGCTGTTATAAGGCTTGTAGGTGCTGAGGATTCAAATATAAATAAGGTATTCTTTCTTGAGATGCCAATGTGCAGAGAGACAAATTCTAAACAAGCGAATGGCTGAAAGTAAAGACCAGTTCCTCTGTGAGTAGGGTAGCTATTGGAACCAAACAACTCAGTACATGATAGTACTACTGATTGCAGTGCCTTATCCAGATCATAGTCTTCTTCACTGTTAGGTTTGGCTTTTCATTTGATTGTGTGTATCTGTATATTTTTAAATTCTTCTAGACTTCAGATAGCTCACAATATCATGCCTACTAACAGATGTTTCATGTTTGCAGCATTTAAGTAGATCATCTGGGACTATCGGTAGGTTAGTTAGCAGTTCTACTTGTACATGAGTTGCTGGTATTTCAAAAATATGAGCATGCTTTTCATTGGCCTATATCCTAAATATTTGTCTCGGTGATAAATAGAAACTTCAGACAAAAGTAGATACATTTTTACAAACACTTTAGAAGTGTCTGTAATTTGGAAATATTATGAGTAATTTTCTTTTTTTTTTATTATGAGTAATTTTCAACCTATAATTTCTTCACATCTACCCAAAGTATTGAAATTTCTTGAACATATGTATTGTATAACGCAGATTTATAAAAATAAATTACAAAGAGGTAACATTTCTGAAAACATGCAGAAAATCTTAAATATAACATTTGATTTAAGTCAGGGAGTCACATGATCAGGGAGACAGATGAAGTCAGGGAGACACATGATCAGGGAGACAGATGAAGTCAGGGAGACACATGATCATATAATGGAGTTATGAAAACATAGCTTTAATGATTGCTAAAGCACTAACATTACCTAAAATGGAACAGTTCTGAAGATATTCATGAGTATTCATATTTAAAAACATGACATCTGGGGTGCTTGGGTGGCTCAGTTGGTTAAGGGTCCAACTCTTGATTTTGGCTCAGGTTATGATCTGAGGGTTTATGAGATTGAGCCCCATATTGGGCTCTGCATTGACAGCACAGAGCCTACTTGGGATTGTGTCTCTCCCTCTCTTTCTCCCTGCCCCTCCTCCACTTGTTCTCTCTCTCTCTCAAAATAAATAAATAAACTTAAAATTTTTTTAAAAATGACATCTCTAAGTTTGAGTGAAAACAGTTGTATAGTAAAACTTAGAAGTATTGTCATCTATTATCAGTAAAGAATATCCTAGATTGAGCTGGGATCTGGGAATAAATTTAATTTTGAAAGATCTACTTTCAAAAGAATAACTTAATCTTCCTTGTGGCTATTGTTGCCAAATACTTTAAAAGTATATTAAATTTCTGCTATTCTAGGCGTAAATGACCTACATTTCCTATTGGGTAGATACAATGAAACTGAGGACCAGAGTTAACCATAGTTTTTATATTTATTTTCTAGTTTGACTGAATTAAAATATTATAATACTCAAGAAATAGATTAATAAAAATTTCTACATTTTTGTTATGTAGAAAATAACAGGCCTTTTGGAAAATGTGTCTGGGGACTGGCAATTGTTGAATGGTTGAGCAATGCAATTTTGATACTTTTTGAATTAGTATCACAATGAGTAGCAGTTATAATTTCTATTTTGTCTGTGAAATATTACTCTTTATACTTGTTTAGGATTTTTATTTTACAGGGTAATGACAGAAAAAAGAGTCTACTGAAATGATGTTTAATGACTAAAATATTTCATAATATTTCATAACTTTCAGCTTATGAGAAGTTGTTGTGGACGCCACTTATAAATCCATTTACCAAATTTATGGAGAAATCTGCAATTGATGGAAGTCATTCAGAAAAACTATGTCCTCATTTTAAAAGTACCCCAGAGAATGAACGTTTATTGCAGCCTGCCAGTGAAAGTCATCTCAGCTGGTATTCTTTTTTTTTCTTTTTAATTTTGTTAAGGTTTGTTTATTTTTGAGAGAGAGCGCAAGCAGGGGAGGGGCAGAGAGAGAGAGAGGGAGACACAGAATCGGAAGCAGGCTCCAGGCCCTGAGCTGTCAGCACAGAGCTCAACGTGGGGCTTGAACTCATGGACCGCCAGATAATGACCTGAGCCAAAGTCGGACGCTTAACTGACTGAGCCACCCAGGTGCCCCTCAGCTGGTATTCTCCATGCTAGCAGGGAATATCTAATTTTCTGATTTCAGGGTTTCATGTTTTGTCTGTAGGGTAAATTATTTGAATCAAATACAGCGTTCTTCCAAGAGTATCTTCTTCAAATCTAGCAATTCATGTATTTATTTAACCTCGTCACAAATGTACTCATTTGGCAGAATTTGGCTGGTTTTTTGGAATCTTAATGAAAGCAAATGAAAATGAAAACCTTAACTATTGAGAATTATTATAGCTAAGGTAAATGAAAGTATAAATACTGTGGAACATTGGAAATGTAGTTGATGAGTATCAATTCACTGTCATTTGGAACATTGCCATATAACAAATACCTGTCATATTTTGCTATCTTCTTTAGAGCAGGGAATATACTTGTTATTTGTATGATTCATTGCTCACCAAAATGACAGTCTTAAAACACCATTATTGTGACTATTGCTAGTACAATCCAACCTCTAGTTTAGCTTGTTTTAAATGATGATGATATTTGGTCATATATAACCATTCTTGACTTTCTTCTGCCCATGGGTTTTAATAATGGACAATTGTCATTTATAACTAACCTCTTAGGCCCAGTGCTTAAGAACGCAATCTGCTTTCTGACATAGCCTCTAAGATGCCATCAGTTGTTGATGAGCCATTATGTTATGTTTTGTAAAGAAAGAAAAAAGCTGCCTATTAAAGAAAGACACATGTTATCACATGGAATTTTATTTATAGATTTTGAAAAAACTCCTTCAAACTTAGATTTTTTTTTTTTTTTTTACTTCAAGTAACTGTGCTTATATAAAAATGAAATGTATGGTATTCTTAAAAATTTTTTTTTTTATACTCAAAATCCAACTCTTCTGAGTCACTTTTTGACTCAGAGTTTTCCTTGCTATTGAGAGTATTGGTCATATGGCATTTCTTAGGAGCATCTTTAGCTGAAATAAAATTTATTGGTGTTGGGCTCTTAATTATGCTATCTAGCAAGCCTGTATTGGAGTCTTGCTTCTGGAATGTTGCTAAGCATTCTTGCTTCACCAGCTCCTTCAATCCCTCTATGACCCTGCATTCTTAGGGGTTAAAAAGTGTGCATCCCATCTCTGGCATGGCATCCCATCACTGGCCATCTATTCTGTAAGTTCTGGGCATGTGCAGGAAAGACTGCTCAGGACTGCCTCTCAACTAACAAAGATTACAAGAAGCATCCTGATTTCAGGGTGTAAAATGTGACCAAAGAAACGTTTCTTACAGTGATGCACAGTAATGCCTACGCAATCAAGAAGGCAAATGTTAACAGTTTTGTTTTGAATGGTGTTCATTATAAAGTCAAGTGTGAAGGAATTTTTGAGATCTGGAGAGCTCAGTTATTTTGTGTTTCATTTGGTTAGCTTATTTATTCTTTGGAGTTTTTTTTTTTTTTTTTTTTTTTTTTTTTTTTTTTTTTTTTTTTTTGAACAGTAAATTAAAAGAAACAGTTTGAGAGTAAGGCAAATCTTTTGGGTTTAGAGTAGGGAGAAGGAAGGGAAGTAAAAAAGGCATACACATTCTTGCAAGTCATTTTATAAACTAGAAAAGAGATGTTCAATAATTATCAGGTAGCACAGTGAAACATTGCTGTTGGTGGTTTTGTGTTTCACATATCTCAGTGTTTTAAAAACTGTGTATATTAGGTATAGAAAAATAGGGGAGTATAGGAAAAATTCCATACGTTTTCAGTGACAATTTACTGTTACATTTTGGAGAGCAGTTTGTAGAACTGTAATATTTAGTCAAGCTGTGCTATATTTGCATAAATATGTGACAGATTTAACTTAAATTTTATTTGTACACATCTAGTGGAAAGCAGGACATCGTAAATGAAAAGACTGAACTGGAAGCAACATTTAAGGAACCTGAATTGGCAACCTGTTCTGTAGAATTATTTTTGCCATTATTTAAGGATACCGTTGAAGAGATTAGTTTTGAAAATGTGAGTACTTGACTTGTGAACATCTTATAAAATGGAAAGCTAGCATAATACTCAGAATGCATTACCTGTGGTCCCTTATTAATGTAGTTATGCTCATATGCTGGTATTTGATACAAAAAAATTGCAGGTTTATCATTCTTCTTTATTCCTATGTCTTTAACTGCAATTCTTTCCTTCAAAGATAATTCAGGCATGCCCTTGATAAGAAGCTAAGCTAGAAAATGTATACCTTGGTGCTTGACTTACCTGAATTTGAACTAGAGAGTCAACTTTTCCAAGAGTGAATGTAAACTAAAATATTCTGACAGATGAATAGATCTGTTTTCTATAGTGTTATAGGGAATAGAAACCTGTATTCTCTAATTTCAGTGTACTAAATTTTGAATTAGAGACAAAAAATAGACTGTATTCTATTAGTTTTATTAAAATAAATGCCTGAAATACTTTAGGGCTTAAGCCCTATTTTGATTTCATTACTTTAATGTATGATATACAATCCTATTTACTATTAATAAACTTGGCAAAATTTACTATGTGCAAAAATGATTTTGTTACTAGAAAAAACTATTATTTGATAATAGCAACATTGTATTTTAGAGTGTCTTAATACTGTATCTTAAAATGTGTATGTGGTTCTTATATTTTGTCAGGCTAATCTTTTTGCATTCAATTTGAAGATTGCTAAACAGAAGGAAAAATTAACAAAAGAATTAGACACTTTTAAACATGTAAAACAAGCTTTAGAACATCTTCTTAGAAAGACAGAATACCAACAAGTAAGGACCCTAAGCACTAATTTAATAGATTTGTTTCTCACTTGATGGGTTTACTATTTCTGAAACTGTAGAAATTAAATTATGAGCATACTTTTCATTGGCCTATATCCTAAATACTTGTTTTAGGATTTGAAACTTCAAATTTGGTATATTTGAAATGGAAAGAATTCCTGAATTTTTGTTTGAAATGGCAATCATTAAACTAACCCTGACTCTTAGTATTTCACAAATTGTTCTACATGAAAGCAGCATGTTTTTATAGAAAATATACTTGTATCTTCTATTTCAAAATTTTTCATTTGTTATATTTCATTTCAGCTGATTACAGTAAAATTTTCTTAGAATTTAGCTACTTTGTACCACTGTGTTTATATATTCTTTTATTTTTTGAGGGTAACAGTTTGCTGAGAGATAATTCACATACCATACAGTTCACCCTTTTAAAGTGTACAATTCAGTGATTTGTAGTATATTCACAGAATTGTGTAGCAGTCACCACACTGTGAGAGCGTTTTCATCACCACGTCTATCTCCCACCCCCACCAGCCCCTCCTTACCCTAATAGTTACTTTCTGTTTTTATGAATTTACTGATTCTGGACATTTCACATAAATAGAATCCTATAATAAGTGGTTGTTCATAACTGCCTTTCATTTAATATAGTCTTCAAGGTTCACCCGTGTTGTAGCACATGTCAGCGCTTCCTTTTTATTGCTGAATAATATTTCATTGTATGGCTATACCATTTTTATTTGTCTGTTTCTCAATTAATGGACATTTGGGTTGCTTCTGCTTTTTGGCTGTAATGCATAAAACTGCTGTGAACATTCACTTACAAGTGGTATATACCCAACAGAAATGAAAATATTAGTATGCCAGGCAATCCACTATGTACCTTTACAGAGTCAAAGAGTGGGCTCTATGCAGTCCATGAGCCCTCTGAAAGTATGTGTACAATTTTGCATTATTTGTACATGGTATAAACGTCTTTGGGTGAAAGAAATTCATAGCTTTTTCACCTTCTCAAGCAGGAATATGACCCTTAAAATAAATAAACGTTTTCCTATGTTCTCATTTAAAATGTCTACTTAGAATTCTTTTACTGATGTGCTGTAATTCTTTAAAAAAAATTCTTGATAGAATTAAGTTTGCTGATATTTTTTAACCTATTTGTAAACAGCACCATGAGTGTCTTTGTGTATAAGATTTTTAAAAAATG